CTTTACCGTCTGGAAAAATACTCAACAGTCGTATCTTAGGGTCAAGGTCAATAATAAACAGTATTTTTTTCTAATTGCTTCTATAAATTGCTCTTGCTGATATGTTTAAAATGAGACTGGAGTCATTTTCCTACTTCTACTTTTTATTTGTTGCCGACCTGTATGAAAAATCAAAATAAGCCACAAAATGTGTGCCCTTCTCTGTGGTAATAGGAATTTCCTACAGTTTTCTTTATTTTTGTTAAAAGAAAATGTGACCTGGCTCAGACTTAAAATACTACCAAATGTCAAGCAGAGGAGATGATTGGAAAACTTTTTCAAAACCAGCCTGATCTGGTTTTGAAATCTGACAAGTGAGGAAAGGTACAGTATCTATCATAAGGATTTTCTGCGATTCTCAGAATTTGATAGACAGTGCAAACTGCCACTTCAGGACTTTCTGTCCTTTTATTCAAACAACCAATCCTAAAATCAAGTACGCTATTTATTTTTGCCCAAGAGCTCTTCTCAGTAATGTTTCAAGATTTGCCTAGGAACAAACATGCTTTAAGCAGTGTAAATACTGCCAGATCCAATTCAGGTTTATCATTAAAATCACAATTTTTTCAACAGCCAGAACTGTCTAGGTCAGTGGTGGTGAACCTATGGCACGCGTGCCAGAGGTGGCACTCAGAGCCCTCTCTGTGGGCACGCATGCCATGCGCCAGAAATGGCAACCATCCCTCTTCAGCCAACCACCCACTAACTCGCTGAGGTCCCACATGGCCGGATGCATCCCAGCACACCCCCATCCCATCCCTCTTGGCCTCGCATACTCTCCTTTTCCCAGGCACAACACTGCATTGCCTCCTCAGCTGTCAGCTGGCCGTCCAGCTCAGAGGCGGTTTCTCTGAACTGCTGGTGGCGGACTACAGAGCCCCAGAGTGTGCCGGTTGAGGGGCTGGCAGGCTGTGGCTGCTGACGGATACTATTGCCCCCCATGTGCTCGCTGGCCTCTGTGTGCAAGGACCGATAGTGTCAGGCAGCAGCCACCCCGGCCCCTGCCTCACCTTGCCCTGCAACAATGGCACCCCTGCCCTGCCTCGCCTTGTCTCACCCCACCCCGCAGGATGAGCCTCTTGCCCACCGCCCCATCTGCCAGAGACGCCCTGGATCTCCCCCAACCCTGCCCAGCCCTCATAGGCATCCCTCCCTACGAGCTACATCAAGGTGACCACACCTACCTTGGCCACACCCACCCAGTCTGACATGACCACCACAGCCACGCCCATCCAGTGGGCCATGCCCACCTGGCACCCAGCAATAAATAAGTGGGTTTGGGGTTGCAGTTTGGGCCATTACTGGTCTAGGTCCATCTTAATTACTGGGGAATTTTCTTTCCGCTAGTTCTCCTTCTCTCATTCCTCCAATATATAGGACTCCATCATTATTGCCAACCCAGCATTTCCAGCCACCTCATCTGTCTTCAATGCGAATGCTTCTTGTGAGAAACAATTCTAAAATTTTCCTTAGCAGTAATTCACTGTATCAGTGAGATGGGCGGCATAGAAATTTAATAAATAAATAAAAACTAGCCCATAGCATTTGTTTGGGCATCTGCATGGACATTGAACAGCAAACAGAAAGCCATGACTGAATGTAGACTGTCACATACAGGTACTTCTCAACTTGAAACAGTACATGTAATGACTGTTCAAAGTTACAACAGCACTGAAAGAAGTGACTTGTGACTGTTTTTCACATGATTGTTGCACCATCCCCATGAGCATATGATCAAAATTCAGATACTGAGCAACTGACTGATATTTATGATAGTTTCAGTGTCCTGGGAGTCATGTGATCACCTTTTGCAATCTTCTGACAAGGAAATGCCAATGGTGAAGCCAGAGTCACTTAATAACCATGTTACTAACTTAAGAATTGTAGTGGTTCAATTAATAACTGTGGCAAGAAAAGTTGTAAAAGGGGGCAAAATTACTTAACAAATATCTCGTTTAGCAACAGAAATTTTGGGGCTCAATTGTGGTCATTAAGTAGGACCTGTCGTTGTTCCAAATCCTTAAAAGTTGCATAAAATTCCTCTTCTGTTTTGTGCATCACTCCCAATCCTACTCCAGCCAACATTTGGGTAGACATACATAAGACAATTTGAGAAGAATAGATTTGCCATGTCCTTGCCAGTTCTTGTTTTCCAAAATCAGTACTCTTTTCTCTTGAGCTTCCAGTATATATGTGAATCTGAGGTCCTTTGCCCTTTGTTTCATACTTATGAATTATGTATCTGTACCACCAAAGATTATAAAACGCAACAAAAAAGCTTTCTGTTATCTTTACTTGTTCACCTCTGACCAGCTTAATAGGCCCTTCTAAAGTTTTAGCTATGTGCACACTATGTGCTCTGGTACATTTTTCAGTACATAGCATACAGACAACTGTTTCTCAAGCTTGGCACTGTAAGATGGTTGGACTTCATGGCTGGTTAAATAATTCTGGTACTTGAAGTCCACCCATCTTAGAGTTATTAAGTTTGAGAAACAACAATATTTTGATGCAGGGTTTATTTTGCTGATGTTATTATACCCATTGTGCATACTTTTCCTATTTTGTTTCAATTTTTTTCTTTAGTTAATAGGTCTGTAAAATGCTGAGTGCCTATCCCATCCCATCTCCCTTGTTCTTTGGATTATATTGGCCTACATTGTATTATCTACAGAACAAAGATGGGGAAGGGGAGATGGGTTAATCTTTCATAGTGTGGAATCTTAAAACTGTCTGTCTCACTGCTCCCTGAAAAACTCCTGTAAGGAGGGGGGGAGGAAATCAATAGAAGTTATTTATTAGCTGAATTGAAGATGTAACGATGCAAAACAAAAATGTCTTCATCAGGCAAGATGATTAAAATCCAGAAGGAGAAAGGAGAAGAGGAGGAGGAGGAGAAGGAGAAGAAGAAGAAGAAGAAGAAGAAGAAGAAGAAGAAGAAGAGGAGGAGGAGGAGGAGGAGGAGGAGGAGGAGGAGGAGGAGGAGGAGGAGGAGGAGGAGGAGGAGGAGGAGGGAGGAAGAGGGAGGAAGAGGAAGAAGAAATGTTAGAGCCATGTCTGTAACAGATGTGTTTTTTTGATAGGAGAAGAGGGAGGCTCCAGACATGTAAATCACTTTAAAACTTAGGTTAATTAAGCAGCAGGAAAGTAATTGGCAGACAAAGCAGCAAGAGGGTATGTTGGCAGTGAGCTACTTAACTGGATTGGTGCTACGATGGCTGTTCTCTATACTGGCATCCATATTCCCTTTCTGTAAGAGAAATAGCATTGTACAGATATGTGCAATTTTGAGAAAGATAACAAAGTCATAGGGTGATTGTTAAATAACAGTTTTCCCTTTCTGGTGCATAATGGAACATTTCAGTTTTCTTTAGGCAGTTCATTTATTGGTGGAGAAAATTAGACATGGCTAAATGTAATATATAATTTGAATGTTATTGTTGCATATAATCTGGCATAATTGGTTCAGTGGAGGTGCTAGTTTACTAATAGTGCAGTCGACCTGAACATGGTCATTATGTATGCAATCAAATAGCTCACCAATGGTTCTTTTCTTTACGAACTGTACAATTTTATAAAACATAAAAAGTTCTAACTCCTGGCAGTGCTCCTACATCACATTGTTATTGAGTTTTATTAAGTGAATCATCTGCATTATGAGAAAGAGAAAAAAGACTATTTCTAAACCTTTTATTTCCCCAGGGAAGCTCACATCTTTTCAGCTACAGCGTTTAAGTATTAAAAGGACTCCTAGCAAATCCAGAGTAAAATTTCATTTTGCGGTGGATGATTTGTTTGATAACAGAAAAGAATTTAAACCAGATGTGCAAGACCCTCACAGAGAAAGAGTCTCTCTAAACATTGTTGAGACCCTAGAAGGAGTGGCATAATAAACATTGTTCATAGACTCGAATCTCATATGAAATTTTTATTTATTTATTTATATCATGCCTTTCTTTTTATTAATGACTCAAGGTGGCGAACATGTCCAACACACCTTCCTCTTCCTATTTTCCTCACACCAACAATCCTTGGGGGGGGGGAGGTTGGGCTGAGAGACAAAGTGAATGGGCCAAGGTCTCTCAACTGGCTTTCATGGCTAATGTAGGATTTGAACTCACAATCTTCCACTTTCTAGCCTGGTGCCTTAACCACTAGACCAAACTGGCTCTCAGTTATAGGCTGAGTGGGTATTTGGTCTCTCGTGTTGCCTACAAGACAAATGTAACGCACTAGCCCAGGGGTAGGCAACCTTGGCTCTTTTATGGACTTCAACTCCCAGCATTCCTGAGCCAGCATGGCTTCCTTTCCCCTCAGCATGGCTGGCTCAGGAATGCTGGGAGTTGAAGTCCACGAGTCATAAAAGAGCCAAGGTTGCCTACCCCTGCACTAGGTGATATTTTACTTTTCAGTACAGAGAGTTTTATGTTTGTCTTATGCGATTTCATAAATACCTGTAACGGAGGGTGAAGCTGGAGATAACACCATTCCTCAGGCAACACACTGACCCTCAGGAATTATATGACACCTGTTGTCATCTGTGTGCTTCTCCTTCTCTCTAAATAGACTGGTTGGGTACCTTCATGTGGACTGTTTTCTGGGTCTGTGAAGCAGCAGTTTTTCTACCAGGACACATGGGACATGCAGTTTCTTGTTGACCCACAGGCCTTCGAACTGGCCAATTTAGGAAATTCTTTCTGTCCATCTTCATTGCACTAGTAAGCTCAGAGATGTCTAAACTTTACAAATGAAGCCTATGAATGCTCTCTTGCCCGCTGAGTGGATAGCTTGTTCTCACTTGGTCCAAAGGGAATTTTAAACTGGAGTTCTGCTTCAAAAATTGTCATTATCAGTCTGATCGTGGGTTAGAATATGGGCCATGCACAAGCATAACATGCTGATCATTGGATTGGATTCCCCGATTGGCTTTTTTAAATTTGATTTTTCTTATTTCCCAACAGAGTCCATCAGTCAATTTTTCCCAGGGCCAGCTGCCAAAGCCAACATCACTTTGTGGCCTTGTCTCTACGAGAGGAGGGAGCCCACCAGCTGCGAGAACACGGAACAGCTTCAACGGAGCGAAACTGAGGTTCCTGAGCAAAGGAGAGAAAGAGAATCCACCCTTAGAAAATCTCTGGACACATTCTACAGTACTTTGTGCCAGAAGAAGCCATGTGGGAGGAGTCCAATATATGAATCAACTTCACAGTGTCTGTCCCTTAAGGCTGCAGATCTTGCAGGCAAAGAGGGAATGAAATTTACAGTGAAGAATCTCCAAATTGCTCAAATGGTTTTGAACAGAGAGGAGAATAAAGTCTTTCCTCAGCCTCCCAGCAACCACTTCTGCCTTTTGACTCCCGACAGTGCCGTTGCTAATTCAGAGAAAGGAAAAGCAATCCCTGGACTCTCAGATGATGTGTTTCGATTTATTTTAAAACAGAATGTACCGAAATGATGCTGGGCCTGAGCGTATTTCTAAAATCTAAGAATTGATCAGATTACTTTAGCTAGGGAATGAATTGTTAACAACCACTTGACAAAACAAAGAATATAAAGAAGGCACGATTAAATTGTAAAATGCCATAAATTTTAATTATTCAGTGATTTGAGAGTATGTTTTCTGTAGGCAAAAAAAGCTTGAGACTCAGACTTAATTATGTCCAATATTAATAATTCTCTTTCTTCTAAAAATAGAACTGAATTTGAAAATGTTCTGTTTGAAAACTAACAGGCTTTCAGGTTAAAACGTAAGCCTAGAAATAATTGCTTGTACTTCTAAATGAATTCATGAGAATAGATAAGCTTTGCAAAGAATGGCCTTCTCTTAATGGAGAAACCAGCAATATACTATGTGGGCTGCTGATGCAATTCATTACGATCTTAAATGAATTCCTTTTTGTTTATCCTATGTTGCTTAGGAATAATAGGAGTCTAAATTCACCATCTATAAGAGGACAGGTTGCTCTCCTTGTGCTAAATAGATTAACCTGCTAACCTCCTTACCTTGGAACTCTACATCTTTTGTAATTTTATAATATTGTTTTACATAGCTTTTTTAAAAAATTTGAATCTTAAATTATTCTGCTTTCAATGCTTAATTTTATTGATTAAATTCTACACTGCCCAGGGCTACTCTCTAAGGGAGATGGGCAGTTAAGAATTGTGAAATATAAATAAACCTAATTCATATTTTGGAATGTGTGCATAGAAAGAGGTCTCCCTTCTGCTCCTGGGAAAATAATTGATTTTGCTGTTTTAAAATTTGCTGCTCGAATACTGAGTGCTGTGTTTCAGGCATGCATCAGTTCACATTATATAAATTGGAGATATTATACAGTACATCCTCTTCCTTTTCATACTTTGTAGACAGCATAAATACGCTGATGAACCACATGATGTACAGTAAGATCCAGGGAATGGCCCATGGAAAGGTGTTTCTATGTATTTTTATGCGCAAGATCTTGTTGAATCTGATGCATTCAAGAATATTAGTAAAGGAGAATATTTGTAGCTCAGGGTTGACATGAGGGCTCCTTGATGCTCTCTGAGTTTCTTGCAGACTAGGCACTAGCACTGATGATGTTACCTAGTTTGAGTAATGAAACGTCTGCAGGAAAGCTCAGAGAGCAAAAAGGACCCCTCATTCAAGAACATCACATTAAAAGGAACCCAAAAGCTTAGACTATCACCTTTTCCACTGATAACAGTTCCACTGAATAGCTTTCTGGCCCCTCTTTTTTCCACAACTTTATTGATAAAATTAGCTCTAAATTAGAACCCAGAAAAGCTGACTGCAAAAGCAAGTGCCTTTTAAAAACCTTTCCTTTTTGCCTTCATAATAGGAATGTCTTTTTTTTTTTAGTGAGGTATCTTGGGGCTATCTACCTGAACAATTTTAATAGCAGCCAATAGATTTGTATCAACATAAAATACCCCTGTGAAGGCTATTTTGGCTGTTGGATTTCAGTGTTATTCTATTTGTTCTGGGAGGTCTATTTTAAAGAGACAGTGGTGTTCAGCTTACTGGCTCATACAAAGAGTTTATTTGAGTTTTACACTTATAGTTCATTTTTCTTAGGGCTGCTGTACCTCAGCTTTGAGAATACAACTTCTAGATGAGAGACTTTGGTATGTGTGTGTGTGTGAGAGAGAGGGGTATTTCTTTGCTGGCATCTAATGGTGTTCTGGTTCTTGCAACCCAGATACTATACAGTACCTTTCAAACCCTTACAGTTTAGGGCTTGAGTCAAGGATAACATACTCTGATAACCGTTTCTTCCAGAAATCTCTTAACTAAGTTATCATCCTTGTCAGGCTTGATAGGTAATGACTGAGAGGAGGTCCTTCTTGATAGTGGCAATCTGCTGGAGATTTGGATACCATTACAATTTCACAATTCTGAATTCAACAGTTCAGCCCCTCCCCTATTCTCCAACAAAGCGATGCTTTGTATTTTCAAGATGTAGCAGAACTGAGGTATTATACTCATTGGGCTCACTTGTTAGGCCTTACTAACAGAGAATGGAATACTTTTCCAAATTTGTTTCAATTGTGTTGCCAAAAAAAATTAATGTCAATTTTATTAACAAACTCCATCATTCTAATGGTATAAATGGCCCTCTTACTGTTTATAAAAAGATAGAGAAGTTAACATTAAATCAGATTTCTTCAAGATGTATAAATCTGTAAAAAATATTTGTGAGATAATAAGTTTAAAATAGATATAGAAATATTATTTATATATTTAGGTTTCCAATATCCAAAATAGGAAATGACTACAGAATTGCTTCTTATACTCACATTTACTTATATTAAGAGTGCATTATATTATGCTGGAGATGGTGCAGATTATCACAAATGGTGGTTTTTGTCCTTTTGGTCTCAAATACTGTAGAGGATCAATGTAGTGTACCTTTGTACCTAAAGAGAGAACTGTATTTTCCACTCAGGAATAAATAAAAACTTATTTATTACACTATTACTAACAGAGGCAATCATGAGACTTCTCTCAGTAATTCATATTCAGAAGTATTGGATAGTGTCCTGGCAAAACAATATATGCAACAACACAAGCAAAAGTAAAGTCTATCAATTGGGATTGTTTTGAAAAAACATAATTCCTTTTTTAAAAAATAGATAACAAAGCAATACATTACCTTTTTATTAGTTACTCAAACATTAAAAATAATAATAGAGACCTCACATATGGTTTTATGAAGATAAAATCTGTGATTATATGTGTTTTTTTCAGGAGGTTCTCGGCCTCTTTTCCTTCATAGATAAGACTTAATTACAAAACATGTGACTTGATTTAGATTCTGCTAAAGTTCTAAGGCAGACATGTCAAACTCACGACGTCACGTGATGTTGCGTGATGTATCAAAACTTTTTCCCCATTGCCAGCACTGGGGTGGGCGCAGTTTCCTCGTGATGCGTCTGGCCTGTGGGCCAGCAGTTTGACACTCCTCTTCTAAGGTATTCTGTCCCTAAATTCTTCGACTATCAAATTACCCCAATTTAGTGGCAGGGCTTCCTTCCTGCACTCATATTAAACTGCAGTTTGAGGAGGGATTTATTTACTCATCTTGGTTCCATCCCTGATTAGATATTCCTGGAGTCACTTTTAAGATTTAGAAAACAAGCACACCTCTTGGGAATTGTATACTTATGAATCATCTCTGTAAAGATTTGCTCCCTTTGCTATCAGTGACAAAGTAAAAAGCACTGTCTTAAACCAGAGGAACCCAAGAAAACTAAATTAAAATTCTTGCAGTGCAATCCTAGACATTTATTTGGGGGTTAATACACTGTATTTAGGTGCATTGTAGATTTTACAACTCATTCACCAGGAAAACCCATCCTCACAGCTTTTCTTTGACTGCGACCAATGTGACTTGAAATATGCGGGGTATATCTCTCTGAATTAAATAGGAGTAGATTTCCCCAACTGGGGGCAAGTGTGCAGCTTCCCAGATTCCGAAATAATGGTTGTGGGAGGCTATTTTAAAGCTTCTAGACTGTCCTCCACTCAAACATCCAACAGATATTGCCAAAAATATTGATACCCCTCCACTTTTCCCCAAAGATCCCAATTTGCTGTGAAATAAGTTGAAACTGATACAATTAAGTAGCAGTCACCAAAGCAGACAAAATAATAAATGAAATTGGCATGGATATAATTATTGGTACCATTAGCCTAATATTTCATAGCGTACACTTTTGAGGCAATAATTGCAACCAAGTGCTTTCTGTAGCTCTGAATTTTTATACTTCTCAACTGGCAATTTGTTCCACCCTTCTTGAGCAAGCCTGTCCAATTTTATTGGGTTTAATGGGTTCCTTCTCCCAATGGCAAGTTTCAGCTCTTTCCATAAAAGTTCTATTGGGATTCATAGTAGGCCACTTCAGAATAGTCCAACGTTTGCTCTTCAACCATTCTTGGTCATTTAGATGTATGTTTTGGGATATTATCTTGCTGGAGGACTCATGAGCTGCAACTGAGAGTATCTGCTGTCATTGTGCCCTGGACAGATTTTAGGCACCCTCTCCACTCAGCCTGATTTAGAGCTATAGAAAACACTTGAAGCAAACTGGAGTAGGGAATATGGCGTAGGGATTAAAGAATGGTGGATAGTATTTGTATCAATTTCAATTTATTTCACCGAAATTGGAATTCTTTGGGAAAAAAGTGGAAGGGTACCAATACTTTTGGCTTTGTCCATAGATCATTTCCAGTACTGCAGAAAGAATTTATTTTCATGTATTTATTTGAACTATTTTTCAAGGCAATGATTCTGTGTGGGGAAAAAGAGATAAAAATAAAGGAAACAAGAGACTGCTGTTTCTATTCTTGCCAGTGTGTGGTCTAATGAAAAGGATTGTCATTCCCCTTTCTATTTATACTTTCTATACTATTTATATTACACAGTTTCCAACATTTTGTAATGCATGAACATGCTGCAGCATATGGTTTCTCAAGGGCGCACAGAACTTTAACAGATTTTGTAAATGCATCTCTTTTGATAAGTGTGTGACGCTTATTGTTGGCCAGATTAAAAATAGACCTTGCTGTTTTCATGATTGGTTTATATGTTCATTGATGGTAGACACCAAACCTTGACAAAAATGATTGGTTCTGGATGTCTCTGGAGCTTCTCAGTCATCCAGGTCATGGTTGTCCCACAGTGCTTTTTAAAAAGACAACTGGACTTTCTGATTTTTCACTTCTCATCCAAGAAGCTTCTTCAGTTCTAACTAACTGGTGGAGAATAGAGGGGATTTATACTCTCTGCAAACAGTCAGTCGTTAAAACTAGGGGCTAATCTGTGTTCTCAGAGTCCCTGAATCAGAATGCAAAGAAGTGTGGAACATCTTGAGACTGCTGAAAGAGGTGCATTGTAAACAGGAGGGAAGTTGTTTTGTACCCCTTCCCCCTCTGTTGAGAGAGGGCTGTTCAGTTTTAACATAGATGGCCTCTGACTCCTCTTTCAAACCAGCAGTCCTCTCTGTCCAGAATGTGGACTTTGCTGTTTTCAGGGGAATGGCTCTTTTCTGTCAGGTGCAGGTAGACTGCTGAATTCTGAATTCTGACTGCTGAATCATTGCCCACCAGTCAGTTAGAACTGAAGAAACTTCTTGGATGAGAAGCAAAATGTTTTCAAAGAAAAAAAAAACCAAAAAAAAAAAAAAAGTCCAGTTGGAAAAAGCACCTTTGGGACAAAAGTCCACTTTTGGAAAAAGCACCTTTGGGACTACCATGACCTGGATGATTGAGAATCTCCATAGACATCTAGCGGAGATTGCTATTATGGCAGCAGACAGATTACGTCGTCGCTTTTTTGCCCTCCCAGATCGGTAGGTGTCCAGGCTGGGGTAGGCAGAAAGCACACATCTGCCTGTAATTCCATCTGTATTATAAGCACTTCATTCGCTTCCTTTTAAGTTCAAGTAAATATAATAGATCTAAGAAGCCTAAAGTCTGTTCATCACTGGCTTAGGATATTGAGAGCATAGGGAACTATTTTCAGTTACCCAAGATAAGGATGTTTATGATAATCTGCTCAGGGCTTCCTAATATCCTTTGCAGCCAAGGATCAATGATAAACCTTAATGGGTTTTGCTACAACAGTGAAGCTTATTTAAAGTTGAATTATTTAGACAAGCTACCATAGTTTAGCTGATTTGCAAACTACAGCACACTGGGTTATTGAAGGCTTCTAAATATTTGTTTTAACATTCAGCAGACTATCTTCTCTTTCGCTTTTATATTCCCTATAGGGAGAACATGCTTGTCAGAGATCAACAAGTGCTTGTCATCTCTGAAATATGAAAAGCTCTGATAGCTCATCTTGCAATTAATTTGTAATTTCCTTTGTAACTGTTCTTCCAAAGGGCCACTTCTCATAACTCCCATTTTTAGGTAGTCAAGGTGGCATAGCTTTACATTTCCTGTACAGAAACAATTTTGTCAGGGTATCATCACTTTCAAAGTGGAGTGGTAGAATATGGTATAATACCTAGAGGTTTGAATATGTATGTAATTCAGCCCTTAACTCTGCAGTGCACATCCTGCACCCAGCCACATCTTCTCCCACCAAAAAAAAAAAAAAAAAAAATGGGACGAGACCTCCAGAGTACTTATGAAAGTTGCTACCAAGTTGGGATGTTTAATATGAAAAAAGGTGAGGAATAATTATTTGGGGAATCACATGAGGTTATTAATTGAATTTATATTCAGCTACATGAAATATTTGAGTTTTTAATCCTGCTCTATCTTAGCTCAGCCTTCTATTTTGGGACAGCACAACCTCAGTGTACGAGTCAGAAAAGGGTTGGGCACTGTGACTGATACCTGCCAAAGATGCTTTTTCAAAAGACAACTGGACTTCCTTTTTTTCTTCTAAAGAAAGTCCAGTTGCCTTTTGAAAAAGCCCCTTTGGGACAACCATGATTTGGATGACTGAGAATCTCCATAGTCTATTGATATGCTCAGCAGACACAACCTAGCATTAAGTTTTCCTCTCTGCTGTGACCCACCATCCTTGGCTGCTATCTAGCTGGCCACCCTGGTCTGACATCTCTTTCTCAGTCTTTCGGACAGAAGCAATGGCTGTATAATACCAAGAAGATTAAGGAGAGCTGTTCTGTGTTCCTTTTTCAAAGGCAGTTCTTTCATAGAAAGCCTTCTAGCTTTCATTTATATTAACTGGAAAAATCAGTAGGGTGAATAGCCTTCTGCTAAACACAAGAGCTCTTGGAGAGAAAGAGCTTGTAAAAGATGCTGCCAGGTATGCAAATAAATATTGGGTTAATAATTTTAATGTTTATTTACACAGTTCCGAACACTAGTCTTATTTTAGACAGAAAAGTAGATTTATGGTTCTGAAATTAGTCTTTGGGATCCTAAGTCACTGGGGTAATAAATCAGCCACTTGGCTGCTGGAAAAAAAAAACCCGGAATATTCTTAATACTTACCTTAAGGGTGAGAAAAAAGCTTACCGAAAAACTAACATACCAACAAAAAGATGCCATCGTACTTAGCCTGCTGGATTGTAGGACTATAATAGGCATCTGACTATGCCCAAGATGTGGTTTCTGGTAAGATTGTCAAGGCCTCTTCTTAATGAACTGCTGAAATGCAGTTAGTATGGGTCTCATCCCTAGGAAACTGCATAATCACTAGATGGGAGTTGCATGGAACCTGATGTCAGTTTGGTGGGTGGTGGCAAATTGACGTTTAGTACTATGCAACTCCCATCTAGTGGTTATGCAGAGTTTCCTAGTGATAAGACTTGCGCCAACTGGCTGGTTTATAATGAAGGGGCTTTGATGATCTTTGTCAGAAACCACATCTTGGGCACAATCAGATAGCTACGTTAACGCTCCTACGATCCAGCAGGTTAAGTAGGGCGACATCTTTTTGTTGGTATGTTAGTTTTTAAGAGTGTCATAATCCCAAATGTCACTGCAATTAACAA